ACGGAGCGATGGTGGCACGGGATGGCGCGGAATGCGCGCCACGGCGATGGGCGGCCCAGCGCAGGGCAGGCCGAGAGTGGGCGAAGTGGTCCGCCGACAATGCCGTCAGGCGGCTCTCGGGCGAGCTGGCCAAGACCCGATTTCGCCTGGAGGCCGCGGGGCCCTGTGCGCCGTCATCGGCGACGGCGAGGTTGGGCAGCGACCGCAGGCGATGCTCCCCGCGCTGCAGGCAACCTTGGGGGTAGGTCCCCCACATACATGGCTCGAGCGCCTGCCGCGTAATGTCGCCCTCCACGCTGAGGCGCAGGGCGTGGACATCGTGGCGGCGGGAGCGGCGGAGCTGCGCTGTGCCCAGCGGGGGCCCCGGCTGGAGGGGCGCGCGGCGCCCAGGCGCGAGGCCGAGGAGGCTGCCGCTGGGGCGATGCGGGCGGAGGCGCCCTCCCTTTTTCCTGCCGGCCTCCTTAGTGCTGTCACGCCCGACCTCGCGCCTGAAAGAAGTCGGCCGACATGGGGGCGTCCGAGCTGCGCGGGCGCGGCGCCACCTCGCGGCAGCCGCCATGAGCTTCAGGGACTACGTCGACGCTATCGCGGAGGACGGCAGCGAGCAGCTGGAGCCTCTGGGTGGCAGGCCGCGGGTGCGGTTGCCTAGGGAGCTCAGGCGCCTGCGGAAGCGCCACCTTCGACTGGGGCCAGCAGCGGCCCTCCGGCCTGGGCCTGAACGAGGGCGGGGGCTTCTTCGAGGGCGGGCTGGGGGACCCGAAGGGCCAGTACAAGCGCGAGGTCGGCCTGGACGCGAGCGCGTGCGAGGACTGGTCGGAGTGCGGCGGCCTTGGCGGCGCCACAGACTTCCTATCTGCGCGCGGGCTCCTGGAGGCGGGGGCCGCCGCTCGGACTGCCTTCGCAGCGGTCAGCATCATCCTGGGGGTCCCACTCGAGGCCCCGTACCAGCTCGCGGGCGTCGCGGGCTGAGTCGCCGCGACTGCTCGGGTGTCGTTTTCCGCATGTTTCGGCTGGGGCGGGGGGCGGCGTCTCGGCACTCAGGCGAATCTGGGTGTGTGTGCCTTGGGCACGAGACCGCGCGTTGCCTCCGCAGGGCCAAAGGGAAACGCCTCGGTCCGAGGGGCAGGACGAGCTAGGAGCTCCTGTTCCCTTCAACCGCGGGGATCATCATCATCATCCTCTTCTTCCTCCTCCTCCTCCTCCTCCTCCTCCTCCTCCTCCTCCTCCCCCTCCTCCTCCTCCTCCTGCTCCTTCTCCTTCCCCTCCTCTTCCTGCTGCTCCTCTTCCTGCTGCTCCTCCTCCTGCTGCTCCTCCTTCTCCTCCTCCTCCTCCTCCTCCTCCTCTCGCTCCGCCTCCTCCTTGGCGTCGTCCTCCTTCTCCTCCTCTTCCTCCTCTTTCTCCTCCTCCTCCTACTCCTCCCCTCCTCCCTCCTCCTCCTCCTCCTCCTGCTCCTCCTCCTCCTCCTCCGCCTCCTCCTACCTCGCCGGAGGCGTCACACGTCTGACGTCGTCGTTTTACTCGCAGCGCGGGCCCACCGAGGTGTCGACCCCCTCCCCGCCTGGACCGGCGTTTACTCCGATTCGCTACGTGTTTGACCGTGCCAGGCGCTTGGGCAAAGGCCCCCACAGGTCGGAAAGCGCAAGAGAGTCCCGTCGTGATTGTTCTTCGACGCGAGGAGGCCTCGGTCCTCCTCCTCCTCCTCCTCCTCCCTCCTCCTCCTCCTCCTCCTCCTCCTCTTCCTCCTCCTCCTCCTCCTCGTCCTCCTCCTCCTCCTCCTTCTCCTCCTCCTCCTCATCATCCCCCTCCTCCTTTTTATCTTCCTCCAACTACTCCTATTCTTACTCCTACTCCTATTTCTAAATATTCCCACTTCTCCTCTTCCTCCTGCTTTTCCTCCTCTTCCTCCTCCTCTCCTCCTCCTCCTCCTCCTCCTCCTCCTCCTCCTCCTCCTCCTTGTCCTCCTCCGCCACTCTCGTAGCGTGGGCGCGCGGAGAGATTGCCTTCCCGTCAACGAGCACCCCACCGTCGCTTGCCCCTTCACCCTCCGCCGCGCCGGAGACCTGCAGCGCAGGCCTCGTGTTCATATCCCAGCTGCTGCCGCCCATCAACTACGGCGCTGCGGGCGCCACCCGCTGCCCCCGGCCCGCGTGGTTTCGGGAGAGAGGGGGGGGGAAGGGAGGATTTGGTTTTCTGTTTCCCCCAGCACGCCTCCTCATCATTGTCTTCCTCCTCCTCCTCCTCCTCCTCTTCCTCCTCCTCCGCCTCCTCCTCCTCCTCCTCATCATCATCATCACCATCATCATCCTCGTCCTCTTCCTCATCCTCATCCTTCTCCTTCCTCCCCCTGCGGTGCGGGGCCGCGCTCCTGGGTGGAGGAAGTGGCGGAAAATGAAACACACCTCGAGTGCCACCCCAGTAGAGCGCTGGCCAGCTGCACCGTGGGGGGGGCCCGAGAGAAGTCAACCCCCTTGATGTCGATGTCAAAAAAGTTATCCCTCCCTGTTCGTCCTCGCCTCCAGTCCTTCGTCACTCCACTCACCCTGGGAAGCAAACCCAGTTTCCCATGCCAGTCGATACGGCAGGGTATCTTGGATTTGGGCCCCGCTCCCTACGTACGCACCACGCCGTCTCGTTTGGGCACCGACGTATCGGCGACAAGGCCACCTCATTGTTCCCTGACAAGCTTGATCGAGTGCATGCCACTGCGTGGCTTGCTCGTGCTCCACATGCTCCCAACCCTTCGTCGCGGAAGCTCAGTTGCCGTGCAGGCCGCCAGGGCCCCGTGTTTTTCGGAGGGTTGTTCGTGGATCGGAGAAGGACGAGGAAGAGGAGGAGGAGGAGGAGGAGGAAAGAGAGGAGGAGGAGGAGGAGGAGGAGGAGGAGGAGGAGGAGGAGGAGGAGGAGGAGGAGGAGGAGGGTCCCCAGTGCCTCTTCATCCTTCTCCTCAAACGCCTCTTGATCATTGGGACGCCGCCGACGACTGGCTCCGCAGGCATAACACGAATGTTCCTAACCTCCCCACCATGTCGAGTGTTGCAGGAGCAGAGAGGGGGCCCATCTGGCCCAGACCTCTTC